GTGTTATTATCTACGCTGTTATGTTTTCATATATGTTATCACGTTCGCATCCAACGCGATTAAAGATTGGAACATGTTGATCTGACACTTTGAAGTTTACCTATCGACGATTTTCCTTAAAGGTCGAGTTATTAAAGTAAATTTTATCCAATGGAAAGTAAAACTAGTTGAGTTAAAAGGGAGTTCGAGTTAGCCGAGTTCTAGTCAGCAGATAGTAAATAACTGGAAAAAAAAGAGGTCAAACCCGTGGTCAGAGGGAAATCGCATTCTGCCGTTTCGAGTTAGCGGGGTTTTTATTGTACATCTTTTCATGTAAAACTTGCTTCTTTGTTACAATTACAATTATTTTTATTTGCTGTGGTTAGTCAGTTTTTCCGCTATAGGGGAGCAATCCTCATAACATCAGGGAGACACATAAACAAGAACGAAAGAAACCAGGCTAGCTGTCCCGTAGCCTTACCACTACATCAACTTCATATGGAGTAGATAACTCTTCAGAGTGGACAGATAACATCACACTCGGCTCGTTCCGCAATCCATTGTTTTTTGCACAGTCCTTTCTTTTAGTGTTTTCTGAAATCGATTGCCAGGCAAATTAGAAGTAAAAGTCGAGGATTTTACGGAAATAATATATAACATTGTGAAACTTCAGAAACTGAGATTGAAAAACATCCTTCGTTTTCTAAGCTTTATTGCGTCAGGGAAATTAAGGTAACAGCTAGTTTTACTACATTTCAATTTCGCTACGTTCGATTTCGCTAGCTGTTCTCCACATTCAACTATAGCAGAAGAGTCAGTCTACTGCTAACTTTTAAGGTTAATGAATACCTGTTTTTTGTGTGTTAGCGAACTTGGTGAGCTGATGAAGCGAACTCGACATATGAGCAGCGAACGTGTAGCGAACTTGAATGTAATGAATTCTGCATGTGGCGGAACCGGCGTAAACCAGAATTGACATGAATGTTGTTTTCACTCTTGTGTTAAAGGTTGATACATGTTATAAAAAGTCAGTTTCAAGGAATTAAGGATGGGTAGATAACCTTTCTCTCTTTACAAAAAAAAAGTACGGAGCAATCGCAATCGTAGTCACAAATAATAAGTCCTCAGTATAAATAAGGAGTTGTCATAGCCTCTTCCTACGGAAAGCGAAGTCATAAGGGCTTCTCTTACACGGTATTAAAGGGAACGATCTACCATCAGTTTTCAGGCACTGTTTTCCTGAGAGCTTTATGTAGACGACATTGAAGTTAACATTTTCTTATGAATATAGTACAAACTTTGATATCAATGTTGTTTTCCAGTGGATTCGTTACAGCATTTGCAAGAGCGAAAGTATCCTCCATGTAAGTTTTGTCAAAGGAGTTGATAGTTGAGGGATTCATATGGCCTCTGGTGAGTTGATTCCGATACTTGCTCTGGGCTTCTCGGTTGGCTTGTTTTATACGCATCGTCGAGACCAGAAACACCACATTCGTCGATGAATACAGATTACTTGATTACTTCTCACGTTAAATTTTTAAATCATATTCTCATGAATACGACGCCGATAGTGGTAGTATTTTGTCGTTTACCACGATGATTAATTTACTAGTTGCAACTTAAAGTGATCTATGAATATTCCAGGGAATCATATCGCTTTTTTGTCTCTGTTCTGAAATAGCGGTGGTATGAAGCCTTCTGACTGCACTTTAATTTCTCTTGAAACGTAGCCTTCTTTGAAAAATAGTCGTTGTTAGGAACATACGAATCAAGAGGCTTTTAAGGAGTTAGTATTTCCACAGAAAAACGCTACAGAAAAATTTTACGAAGTAGTATTATGATGGCTTTCCCCACTTCTTCAGTGATGTTAAGTGTTTTGTACTAACGTAGGGTATACTCCAAGCCTCTGTATTTGTTTTATTGATTGATCTTCCTTCAATCGGTCTTGCAATACATAGTTGTCAAATAGCTATTTACGTACCTTTAGGATCCCTCCATTTTACCTTAGGGGGCCTCGACTACGTGCCAATGTTCGCTGCCTGCCTGGGTAAAACTTTGTAGGCTGAATAAAAAGGAGTGTTTGTTATTGGATCAAAGAGACAAACAAAAGAAGGGACCGTTTCTAGGGTATATTCTTTCCCTCGAACAATGTTTGGAAGGCCAACGGGACGCTTGTCATCAAGGAAAAACGAAGACTCGGTAACAGCTAACACCGAGAGAGCAATTGCCAAACACCAAACGGTTCTCTTCACTTTTCTTGGTCCCGTTGTCGAATGCAGGATCTAAATGAACTGAGATGAATTAAGAAATGTTCAGTAAAGTGCTTAGAGAGTAGTTTACTGTAATATTGTTTTTACCATTCTTGCACAATCAAAAGTGATTTTCGTTCATTTAATAATTTTTCTTAAAGTGGCTTTATGATAAGAACGCCTAGTCCAGGAAATTTGGCTAAATACTTCATTATATAGCTATTGCGTTTTCATAAATGTTATCACGTTCGTATTCAACCCGATTTAAGATTGGAACATGTGAATCAGCTATGTTAGGACACTTTGCAGTTTATGGATGGATGATTTTCCTTAAAGTTGGAGTCATTAAAGTAAATTTAGCCTTCGTTTTCTAAGCTTTCGTGTAAGAGGGAAATTGAGGTAACAGCCAGTTTGTTATACATTTCAATTTTGCTACGTTCGTAATTGCTACCTGTTTTCCACATTCAACTACGGCAGGATAGTCAGTCCGCTATTAACGTTTAACGCCACTAAATACCTTATTTTATAAGTACAATAATAATGATTATTATCGCCACCCCACAATACCATCTACTCGAGGCTTCAATCAACACTGTCAAGAGCACACAATTTGTAGCTTATGAATCAGCAAGTGTGTTAAGAGATTTTACAAGGCAATTTCGAATTGAAGATGTCGAAGATCTTTTGGATCCAAGCCCCAGAGGACTAGGCTCCAAGAGGGTAGGCTGCGGAGCAGTAGGTTTTGGATGGAGAGAGTTCATGGAAAATGTTAAACCAGAAGTCTTGAGGATAATGGGAGACAACCGTTAGAGTAAAATCAAGATAATACTCTCTTATGAAGTGGTAAGGGAATATGAAAATGGATTAATCCAGCTCAGTTCAAGATGCATTTTTCTACACCGAAGTAATCGAAAATCTTAGGGCAACAGATGAATCACAAATATTCGCTGGGATGTAAGCTCGTACTTATATACCAGGAGTTTCAAACTTTCATCGGTCAAATTCATATTCATGTAAATCCTGTTTGTTCTTTTAAGTTTACGCTAAAGTTTCAAATGCAAGAGCAAGAGTTAACTGAACGAACCTCTACTGGCATAGTTTCTGATCTAGAGGACATTTCTCGCCTAAGCTTAAGTGGTGGTATATTTTGAATTCTCAGCCCGTCAGTACATAAAGTATTGGAATGGTCTTCCTTTTAATTCGTAATTTTTTGTGTGGTAGCGAACTTGGTTAGCTGATGAAGCGAACTTGTAGCGAACTTAAACGTAATGAACTCGGCATGTGGCGAAACTGGCGTAAACCAGAATTTACATGAAAGGTTTTCTTTAATCTTGTGAGATTAGGTTTGATACATGTTATAAAAAGTCAGTTTCAAGGAAATGAAAATACGTAGATAACCTTTCTCTCTTTACAAAGAAAAATTGCAGGGCAATCACAATCTTTTAAGTACAAATAACTCTGTCCTCAGTATAAATAAGGAATTGCCCCATTCGGTATCAACGTGAACGACACATCATCAGCTTTCAGGCACTGTTTTTCTGAAAGCTTTATGTTGACGACGTTGAAGTTTACATTTTCTTGTAAATAGTGTGAGCTCTGATTTTAATGTTGTTCTCCTGTGAATTCGTTACTGATACTTTGTGTGGGTGGGTCGTGTTCTGCTGAAACCAAATAAGATGAAGGTCACGCTCCACGATAACCTTCGGCTGCTTTCTCAGCTCTCTGATATCCGTCTGTCGCTGCACGAGAAATGCTTCCTACCGGTAACAGTAATTTAAGATTTTGGCGTTACATTTGATCCAAACCTATTTTTTAAGATCTCATCCCTAAAACTGTTTTGGCCCCAATGTCGAATCCAACTCAAATCAGTAGCATTAAGCATATGTTTGATAGAAAGATCCTAATGAAAACAACTAAGCTCAAAGAATTCAATAAATTGTTTCAATGTTCGTCCGTTTGGTCGATCACAGCAACCACCTACTTGGTAATCTTCAAGCTTTGCAACACTTCGCCACCTGGGTCATCAGAAATACTTGAAAGTTCTATCGCATGACCGCTTTCTAAAAAGAGTTACGGTGGTTGCAGTCAAATCCCAGCTGCACTGTTTCAAAGCCGTGCGTGCTATCAAATGCATGACTGGTCTAGCGACGCATACCTTGTCCTTATTTTCAACTCAACGAGAGGGAATTTAAATTTACACCTTGTAAATATCCTGCTTTTGAAGAGCCCTCCAGGACAAATGGCTTTCTTTTCATCGAATAGGCGTGATAGTAATCTAAACTTATGGAAATCCCTCATAATTTTTAAAGAAAATCGACAATTATGCCTTAATTCGCGACATGTCTCTGACTCATACATATTAACTCGAGTAAATTAATAAATAGTTGTCGCATGAGAGGAAATAGTAGCATTCATAACCTCATGAATAGTCTTTGAAACTCGTTACTGTGTCAATTTACGTTATCAACTTATAAAGGGTCGGAAAGGGCTGGCTAGAATTTCTTACGGTGAATTAGAGTGGATTTGGGTTGGATTAAATTGTATTGGAGTGAAGATGGAGATGAATTTCGCCAGTTTCGCTTTTCCACGCAGAAAGTCACGCAAATAAAGGACCCATTCATTTTATTGCCCGATCAACTAAGATATCTTGCTGTAATAAATACAAGTATTCATTGCCTAACTCGAAGCCTATGGTAAATAAGCTTTGACTTGATAAATTTTAAATGCTAACGTCCATTTATGCTTCGTCTTAAATTAGGGTTTTACATGTTTTAGTACGGTCTATAATGAAAGGAGCGAATTTCTTTTCGTTTTGTTTTTAAGATGGTTCTAGAACAGTTTCTTTAGAATGCTTAGAGCCCAGTATTTATTTCTCGACGATTTATCATTATAGTATTTTGTTGTTTCGAGCACAATTTGTATTTCCAGGGAACAAATCCACGTTCGTTGTCGATGTTGTTGCCCTCAAGTGCGTCTCCAGGACATTTACACTCATTTGTGTCTGGTGTAGCTGGTTTCCGTCGTAATGATTGTTGCTCATCACTGCAAAGGACTCGGCCTTTTCAGTTTGCCATAACTTTCCAAATAACTTTCCGGGCTCCTTCCACACACAGCATCCCGCCGTCCAAACAGCCTGGGGAGTTTCAAGTGTTACTGTATTTTGTCCCACTGTAAATGTGGTCGAAACATGCGGCTTCGTTACGGACTTGAGGCCATTTTCGGACTTGCCTGTCAGTAGGTAAAGGGTTCCTTGCCGGGTTTGGCTCCCACAGGTTTTTTTGGCATAATCTTTTATCATATCCTCAAAAACCCTCCAAGGTCCATTGTTTGATGCTTCAAACTGAGGTACAGCATTCGTAAGGGTGAAAGTAGCCTTCATGAAATTTGCGTTAAAGGAATTGATACCTGAGGGATTCATATGGCCTCTGGTAAGTTCATTCCTGAACCTGCGTTTGGCTTCTAGGTTGGCTTGTTTATAAGCATTATCGACACCAGGAACACCTATAATCATAAGCCACATTCTTCCATGAATACAGATAACTTCTTACATTGAAATAATCAAATCATATTCTTCTGAATACGATGACGATAGTGATAATATTTTGTCCTTCCCAAGATGATAAAATTATTAGGTACAGACTGAAAGTGATCTTTGAACATTCCAGAGAATCATGTCGCTTTTTTATCTCTTTTCTTAAATTACGGGAGTATGAAGCCTCCTGACTGCTCTTTCATTTCTCTTGAAACCATAGAGATTCTTTGCAAAACAGACGTTGCTTTGCGCAAAAAAATTAGGAAGTAGCAATATGTACCTGGAGGATCCATCCATTTTGGATTTTTGGGCCTCGGTTTTGTGCCAATGTTTTTTGCCTGCCCGGGTAAAACTTTGTAGGCTGAATAAAAAGGAGTGTTTGTGACTGGATCGAAGAGAGAAACAAAAGAGGGGGGCGTTCCTTGCTGGATTTCCATCCCTCTACTAATGTCAGGAAGGCCAACTGGACGCTTGTCTCCAACGAAAAAAGGGGGAACGGTAGGTCCGCCCCAGAGAAATCTTTTTCCTTCATTTCGCAATTCCTCTGAAGGAAAATCACACATAATCGGTGACAAAATTGCAAAGCAAGGATTAGGTAGTTTCATCGGATTGATTTAAAAACTTAACTAAAATAAGTTTAACCGATCATGTTTGGCTAGAATTTCCCAGTTAAGCAACCCTTCACCCTTCACATAAAAACTATTCTAAGCTTAAATTTCAATACAGGGTTTTTTCAAATATATTACAGTACATCATATGCGATACACAAAGTTAAAAAAAAAAAAACTAGCCTAAAAACGGACAGTGTTGTAACGCCACAATACTGTACTGTCAATACATCAATCAACAACATATCCGACTAACTAACTATGTAAATTGAGGGTACTATGAGGTTGGCATACGCCCACGAATAGAGATTTCCTGTAGTGTAGTGAAGCCACAAAGGCTTAAAAACATAAGCTTCCGAGCACACGAAGTACATCACCCCTCACTTTCCCGCTCTCGCACACACTTTTAAGTTCCCGATATATTTACTAACTACTGCTGTCCTAATACACTACATTTCTCCTTTGTAAACAAATATTAAGAACCCGATTTAGAACCTAAGTACACTCCAACTCCATTTATATAAGAACGTACGGAGGTTAACTTAAAAGCGTTTGATTGGTTTCAAATCGCTGGGTAAGGTAGCTCGTTTTCCTCGGCTTGTTCCGGTAATGCTGTGAAAAAAGTAATCTCAGAGCGCTGGTAGCTTGTCTTGAGGTAGTTGGTGTACGTTTAATTTCCTTGGTGAGCTGATAGAAGTCAAAGAAGATTGGAAACTTCCTTTTAAAGACCACTTGGTCATACGAGATGAATCTTGCAACAACCAAACATAGAGTATAAATTACGACAACAAATTCGACAATATTTTTCGTTTAAAATGTAACGCATAATCAACTTCTACGACTGTCACGCAGTCAAGTGAAGAGCGTAACCACGACCAGAACACAGTCCTTTAATGACGAATCTTTCAACAATCAGGCCACAAAAAGTCAATTTATCCAACCAAAAAACAAGTCCGGACTTGTCTTTTTCTTTGCAGAAGCAACTAAATGAACAACTAAATTAGATAGAAGACGCGAGAAACGAATGCTGGTACAACTCCCACGACAGACCTGGCACAACGAACAGATACCATAAACTCACGCATTTAATCAATTAAGAGACTTATAGATTGTTTGTATCTACCGGTGGAGTGTCTTTTCGAGGACTCGGTAACGGCTAATACTGAGATAGCAATTACTAAACACCAAACGGTTGTTGTCTTCATTTTTCTTGGTCCGGTCGTCTTATGCAGGATCTAAATGGACTGACATGAATTAAGAACTGTTCAGTAATTGCTTAGACAGTCGATTACTTCATAACTGTTGTGAAGTCAGTGAATTATGGGGCAGTATGATTCAGTGATTCATTTGTGTCTAGATAAGTTTTGAATTCGAAGTCTTAACTTATAATGAATTGGGCTTTAGCTATTACGATGACATCCCCTATGTTGACTAACTTGGCTATCATTCAATAGTGGAAGGGCTTAGTCGGTCTTCTGTTCTTGCCTAAGACCTACACTACTTAAGTTCTTTCTTTTTGGCTTTCGTAGTCAAAGACTGTTTCTTTGATCAGAAACGTCAACTAATTTGTTGTTCATTCGTGAAATTCTCGTGAAAGCAGGTCAGTCTGGATTCTGATACGGTCAGTTGGTTCGCAAGTCAGTACTTCGTAAGAATGAGAGGTAGAGTTAGTTAGAAGTGATGAAATTCAGAGTCTGCCACATTGTGATTAAAGAAAAGAGCTTGAATCTATTGAATCTATTATGCAGACCTGAGGTAGAGAACAGGGATTAAAGAAGAACTTAAGGGACAAAGTCCCCGGTGCGTTCCCCTAAGCGTAAAACGTTCTCTCACCAGATTCCACCTATCTGCACCTTACTAATACTTTGAAATTTACATCAAACAAGTATCAAGTTGTAACATCAGTTTAAAGGCATTCAAATGGGAATTCGTTGACCGGAATGGAAAAGAGTTCCGGAAATTGTTATCATAGTAACACGACGTTGGCAAGAAAAATAGTCTTCATGTGTCGCCTTTCATATTTGCAATCAGCATATGTTTTAAGATGAACCCGGCTAAGCAAACATGGGTCAATATAAATCTGGTCAGGTTAGCATGTTACATTGTTAATGACAAATTTACACCGCATACTAAGTTACTGATTTTGACTGAAAATGTGCAGGAGATCATAAATTCAGGTTTCTATCTCTTGAAAGAAGTTAGCCTTCTACGTGACAATGATGGGATTTGGAGCAAAATAAACGTTAACTTTCATCCTTTTTCCCTTCCGCTTTTCAGAGTTTTTGAACTAAGATTTTCCTTGCTTGGACACGTGGCACTGAGAGAAAGAACTGAATTCTTTAATACTTGAAATTATTGAAAGGAAAAAATGGAACTGCACGTGAAAGGAAAGATAACAGAGCCGCGTTTCCTTTTTTTTAATGATAGAGGTCCTCTAAGGGGGTTTTTGAAGTTGCCGTTGTCGATGGTTTGCCAACATACTTGTCCGGTCTGTTTGGTTTGGGACAAATGAGATACTATAATTATTTCTTTTCCTTTATGGTAAATTTTCTGAGTTGAAATGATTAATTTTTTCCTTAGTAGGAATGTTGAGGGTGTCATTAAATCAGTTTACTAATAAATTTGTAAATGAGTGGAAACATAAAAACTGATTAATGAAAGTCAACATGCGAACAACCTTAAAGTGGAGCTTCGGAAGCTCATTTTGTCGCACCTACTGCACCTTACCGGTGAGTGAGCAATTGTAAAACTCTCCTCGTTTTGGAATTCCTTTCAAGTCTCAAGTTAATTCAAATCGTAATATGACTGATTTCGTAGAAACTCTCACTTTGTACTTTCTTTTTAATACAGTTATGAAATGAGGTGCTAGTATAGATTTATTTAAGAAAATGCGCAATTTGCCCAGGAGTTTTTAGTTCCACCAACATAGTACCGTTTGTAATTACCACGATCAGAATGACATAAAAACTGAGGGTAGAGGAGTTATTTCTTAAAATCTAGCACACAAAGAAAAGTTTGTAAATTCCAATTTCAGAAACATACTTTCTTCGTGTTGCACCTTATTTGAAATGTGGCAGAATTTCTCATTAAAAAGGAAAGGGGAAGTGAGGTAGTTCCAGTGCAAAACAAGCTATCCGACTTTGATTTAAAAATAAAAAATGACAAGTAGGTTTCATAATTGGCGGAGTTATGCGTCCTATGGTTACTTACCAAGAGGTGGTGGGTGGTGATCACACTGAGCAATAACGGAAAACTGAAGAGTCGTGCTTTAGCTCTAAGCGAGAGTTCAATATATCGTAAAAGTTTGTGACGGACGTTCAGTAATTCTGTTGTTCGATATGTTGATTCTTAATGCATGACTTTGACATTAGCTTTTAAAAGGTGAGTCAAATTTTCCACCTCCTTGAAGAACTCATTAAGGCAATCACCTATTTGAATTAGAAAAATGAATAACATATTGTTCCGACAACAGGCTATGGATCAATAGAATTCTTAATCTATTTCGAAGTTTCAGATATTTCTGATTTAGCAGCAATTGCGTTGATTTAATTTGGACTCAGGAACGGGGAAAGTCAGGTAGGGTTAGGCTAACGTGTTACACCATAATGGCCCACTTGAAATTTTTCTGAAGCAATATCATGTATTTTCATGAATTAATGATACCTATTCTTCGAAATCCTAGTCGGGCAAATAACAATAAACCTTCGAACGATTGGAAGAGACTAGTTGTTTTTGTTACTTTGATTTTTATCCTTTTCGATACGAGCACTAACGAATACGCTGAGAAATAATCATTTAAAGGAGGGGGAGTGTGAAACAGTTATTAGACAAGGAATCTTTTGGGTCTTCTTGTAAGTGCACCCATTTGGGCGATTGATGTACAGCTTTTCCTTCCTCTTATTTTGCCATAAGAGAACATTCCTTTTTAATTCAGAAAGGTTCTTCAAAAGTATCGTAAACCGCAAATCAGTTTAAATTGATTGATCCAAGTAAAAAGTACATCCCAACACTGCAGCTTAGACTACGTTAGAGGTGATCAGAGGAAGCTTCTATTATTGCGAGAAATTTTTCCATAAATTTTCGTCAATAATTTTAAAAGGTCAGTTACCAGGTTGTAAGATCAACAGGTACCTGTTACTACCAGATAAGTCAGGAAATGGAGGTAGACCTTGAGCTAGGCTCTGAAGTAGGTTCAAATGTCCAAATGCGACGTGAATGTTCTCAAAATCTAAATAATTTTAAGAGACAAAAGCGTTTTGAGAAAAATTCAGTCAATACAGGAAACAATGATAGCTGAATTTGAAAAAAGACGATAATTTTACTCGTAGTTTCTGTTATGTTTCTAAATTTTCTGTTATGTCGAGAATTGGACAATTTTTAGGTTACGAGGTCAGTTAATGAATAAAAAGATCCTGTTTCGATTTAGATACTAAATTTTTAGTGTAAGTTTATGCTGCAGTTTTTTTGAATAAAAGATAATGATGGCTTTTAGAGTAATTCATGTTCTTCATACTTGACTTTCCTTAATTTCTGTCTTTACGTTAGAACCCCGCTGACTCGAACTCCTAAGGGAACCGAAAATAGTTTGAGTTAGTGAAGGTCCGAGTTACCGGGACTGGTATTGTACTTCTATTATTCTGTTAATAGTAAACTAGGAATCATGTTTTTACCATTCTTGCACAATCGAAAGTCATTTTCTTTCATTTGCAAATTTTTTTGTAAAGTGGGTTTTTGATAAGAACGCCTAGTCTGAGAAATTTGGCTTAAAACGTTTCTATTCTACTATATACACTTTTATTTTCATGAATGTTACCGCGTTCGTATTCAACCCGATTAAAGATCGGAACATGTCGATCAGCTATGTTCTGACACTTTGAATTTTATTAATCAACAATTTTCTTTAAAGTTGGAGTTATTAAAGGAAATTTAGCCTCCGTTTTCGAGGCTCTTGTACAAGAGGGATATTGAGGAACAGCCAGATTTGCTACATTTCAATTTCGCTACGTTCGTAATTGCTACCTGTTCTCCACATTCAATTACGGCAGGAAAGTGATTCCGCTACTAACGTTTAACGTCACTGAAAACTTGTTTTAAGAGAGGATGTCAGCATCTATTGAACAAATTTGAAATATTGTGGCAAGTCGCCCAAAATTCGTTTTCTCTCCTACTTTCATATTTTGTAGCCCAATATGTCCTCATAATTGTGGTCTAGTTTTTTTCATTTCGAGAAATGATTTTTTTCGTTCGACCGCTCAAATATGCAAATTTTCACCGTGAATATTACTCGAGTTGTGAGACCTCATGTAACGAATTTACTTGACCACTGGTATTTCTGTCAACACAATCCTTTGTTTTATCATCTAAACTTAATCTCCTGACATTATTGAAGCTGGCAAAGAAATATTTATTTTTTGGTGAATATTTTTGTCCGACATACTTTTTCTATGTCGTAAAGTAGCATCAAAACAAAGACAGTTTTAACAATGACTGATATGACAGAATCTACTGAGCTTCTAGGTTTTAAAAGACAAAAGGATGGTTATGAAGTTACTGTAAAAATTTCCTTGTGTATTTGGGTTGTGCTATCGTGAGACGAACTCAAAGTCTGGCAAAATTTACTTGCTAGCGACTATGAAATATACATGGCGTGCCTGCTTGTCGCCACCGTTTACCGGCGTAAGTCGCTACAATTTGTTAAAAAAATCTAACGTAACACTCTTACCTTGTTTATTTATGATTGTATTAGCTGTTTCGATGATCAAGTTATGCTCTACCACATTTTAGCCAGATTTAATTTGCAGTTTATTAATATTCTCTACATTATTATATCAGTTGCATGACAAGCGTGACACATGTAAATTCAAAGATGAGTCAACCTCCGAATTACCAAGAGGTGGGTTTTTTTAATTTCCTCTTTGCATATCTATAAAAACCGTCCAAGAATTACTGTATTCTGAAAACTAAAATGTACAGATCCATCAATGATTCCTTTGCCGGCGGAAGTCAAAGAATGTTCACAAAAGTCAATTCGATTGACAAGATACATACTGATTTAGCTAATTGATCTGTTGTATAAGCGTCTCATCTTACATCCTAACAAGAATATTTGCTGTTCATTTAAATCGCTCGCTGGTGGGACGTTTGTGTATAGTTATCGAGAAGAACGACGTTGCATATCTCAGGTCGTTCCCTTGCATAGTTGTAAAAGAGACATTTCAAGTCACTTGTGGAGATCCAGAAACTGAAGTTGATCTTATTTTGTCGCGCGCCGGCATCTTCGAGAGGCCAAAAGATATCGATGATTTTACAATTTGCCCCACTTATAGATCAAATCTCGGTAGCGGTGTTGGGTGGAGTCGTGGTTCCATTAATAGATGTAGAGTGCCTTAAGAAGTGTACGGCCATGGTAAAGGTAGGGTTAAGTCGATTCCAAATGCCTATTAGGGAATGGGCAAGCGTGTACCACAGATAGTACGCAAGACATCTGGAAAATTCATATAGCCTGGCTACTTACCACCTTGTGCAAAATTACGCGCCCCGTCAGACTAAGGTCTCGATTGGGAATTGGTCAATAGGCTACCAAAAATAGAGACAGAGGCAGAGTTTTCTATACCAATGTCTGAGCACTTTGTGGGCTTCCCGCCGTCTAGCGTCTGGCGGGACGCGTAATTAAGCACACAGCTGTAAAGGGCCCTTCCGCACTAGCTAAAAGACGCTGAAAAAACTTTTTTCTCTCACTGAAAATCACATCAAAATTTTTCTTGCTAAATTTGAAGTGTGCTGCACGTATCAGCACCCCCAAGGAACCCCTATACATAAGAGGGCTGGGATGCGGGCCGGGAATTTCGAAAACGACCCCTATAAAATAATAAAAGGTACCTGAGTCTTATATCCGTGTGGGAGCGGCAACAACTGATGTTTACCCCAAAAAAGTACCAATTTAAACACAAAAAATTGAAAAATCCCAAAAATAAAAACTCCTTTATCGATGTGCTCCAGAGGTTCAATTCAGATCTTTAAAATCCTCCTAGTAATGCTTATTTCAGGTATTTTATTGAGCGAAGAAGACCCTAAAAGGTACCAGTTAGGTCTCTGGTAGTCCACTTAAGTTTTAACACCGTTAAAGTTGCCAGATCATTGATTTTGACCCCTGAAAGATACGACAAGCATCCTCACCCATTTCCGATCGATACTTCACAAAATCTGTCCTGCTTCAAGGCAGGACGGCTGTACCTTTTTTTGTTTTGTTCGTCTTAACATAATTTGGTAGGGATTAAAACAACTGTACGTCTGCATTTGTTAAGCAGACTATTCAAGTGCATCCAGAACTCGATGTGTGCACTTTTAGTGCAGTAAGTATTCTTTTGTATCATAGCCAAAGATCTTGCGATGTCTACTGTTCAAGCCTTTTTTTCTTGTCAAAGAGGCATTAGAATTATTTTCATGTCAAATTTGCAGTAAACTGCTTGCGTGTCATCCCTTCTTTTCAAGGTGTTCGACCGGGTATGACTGAAAATGGTACCTTGCTTTGATAGGAATTCTTTTGTTGTTGCTTGTTACTTTCTCAAATTATCACTTGAAATTCGCTTGGTAATATATACAAAAAACAACAACAACGCGAGTAATACATATATATCCAAATTCTTTCGTCACATAAAAAGTTGTAGGACCTGATAGCATCTTAGGGACGGACCATTAGATTTTTGATTGGTGGGGGTGTTGGGGTGTTGGGGTGTTGGGCAATAACCCCCGAAAAAATCGAGCACAGCCTTAATGAAAGAAAAAACATCGTGCAATTGGCAAAAAGACCCCCCCCCCCTCCGCAAAATCTGATGGTCCGTCCCTAAGGTACCTTTTACATAAATCCAAAACGGGTTTCGTTCCGGAACGAAATGAATTTCATACCGCATTTACATGCAAGATAATTTAGCTTGTAAAAAACAAGTATTTACGTCCTTTTTCTACGCTTACAGATATGAGTGTCGTACCGCGTTTACTTTATACAGGTACGAAAGGTCGTCCAGAACGAGTGTTTCGTTCTGGAATGAAAACCTCAATAAACTCATTCAGAAATGAATCGTTTCGAATAAGTTTACTGTGGTATCATGTGGCAACCGGGATGAACTCGTTCTTGAACACAACTCATTCCGATATCATGTAAAAGGCCCCTAAGAGTTTTTATTCCCAGAGCATCACACTTTGCTTTCCTGCCAGAACGCTATAAATTCAATAGTGTTGAAGCAACAACCCGCTTTTAACTGCTACTGAAACAACGATCAGTGACCACAAAAATAACATATTGTAATATTGTCAATTCAACATAAACAAAAATCTTCCTACAGGGTAAATATTCATTTGTGTTGGTATCAATTATTGCGTGACTAGGTTATGATATAAATGGAGTAAGGGAAAACACAACGTAGAACCTGGGCTCTTGGCAAAAAGTAATACCCAAGCGTAATATAATGACCGAACCAGCCTATTGGTCTTACAAAATCATAAATAAGAGTGTTATGTTAGATTTTTTTTACAAATTGTAGTGATTTATGCCGGTAAACGGTGGCGACAAGTAGGCACGCCATGTATATTTCATAGTCGCTCGCAAGTAAATTTTGCCGGACTTTGAGTTCGTCTCACGATAGCACAACACAAATACACAAGGAAATTTTTACAGTAACTTTATAACCATCCTTTTGTCTTTTAGAACCTAGAAGCTCAGTAGGTTCTGTCATATCAGTCATTGTTAAAACTGTCTTTGTTTTGATGCTACTTTTCGTCATAGAAAAAGTATGTCGGACAAAAATATTCACCAAAAAATAAATATTTCTTTGCCAGCTTCAATAATGACAGGAGATTAAGTTTAGATGATAAAACAAAGGATTATGTTGACAGAAATACCGGAGGTCAGGTAAATTCGTTACATGAGGTCACACAACTCGGGTAATGTTCACGGTGAAAATTTGCATATTTGAGCGGTCGAACGAAAAAAAATCATTTCTCGAAAACTAAAATATATTTTCACAAAAAACTGCACCACAATTATTAGGACATATTGCGCTACAAAATATGAAAGTAGTAGTAGTAAATTTTGGGTGACTTGCCGCTGTTTGTCAGATGCATGTTAACATTAGCTCTTAAGAGGCTGTCTCTCTTATTTCCACCCGGTCAATTTTGCGTCAAAAATAATTTTTCCTGAAACTCTGTCAACAGAAAGACTTTACCTAGGAAAGAACTAAATTAGATTTGGTTTGATTCGAAATAATTTTCTGACTGCATTAGGGGCCATAATTATTTTCCAGTCCGTAGGGACCGTCGCAACGTCTCGAAAATTGAAAAATAGGCATATTTTGTAACATTGTAAAATATTTGATTCGCATAGTTAAGCCACAGAATTTATATCAGATTGCTTAAAAACCTTTCTAGTTTGCCAAGAAAGTTAGAATTTGCCCTCTCAATATATTTGAAAAGGCGAATTTTAGCATATTCTGACCACTAGAAATCGCCATCGGCCGATGGCCGTAAATAACCTTGATTTAGACGTTAAGTTTTGGGATTTGGGACCTGGTTGACGATTCTATCCTACACAGCCGTTAATTTTAGACCTTTAGAGGTAAAAATATGCAAAAACCCCTGTACGTTTTCGATTTTTCAAAAGTTATGACCGTTTGAATCAGCATGCACATGTACGAGCATTCGCGATTTTTTCGCCTACACCAAAATCGAACCACTGGAGCAGATTTCGTCATAAATACAGCTTACCCGCTTTGCAGCCCGGCTTCATGGCTCACTTCAGCATTTTTCTAATAACCAAATTGGTGAAATCCATGATAACTTCAACAAATAGCTAGGTATTGCCTTCGAAAAGTAGGCGGCATCCATCGTGATTCGTGGTATCAAAACAAATGTCGGAATTGGCCACATTTCGCGGTGAATCACCCATTTAACATCGCTGCAGAGCTGAATTTTTTTCCAAAATCAGAATATAAACTCTCCATGTCTGGAAGCTGAGGGAGAAATGAAGGTTTTAGGCTTCTGAAGTGAAGAAATAATCGCTTAAATTTAGGTCCAGTTCGATGTTATACTGTTCTCACAAAGGTCCGCACAAAAGAGAAGACCGCTGATAGCTTGTGCCGTACGTTGTGCCGTATGGTTTTGTTTTGTATCCCAATGTAATATTTGGAGAGAAAAATTTTGGACGAGAAAGCAAATAAATAGATTTTCTTTTACCTAACAGACGGTTTTTGATATCATATAATTAATAAATGAATTTCAAAATGCACGTTTGTTCTCTCGGGACCGCTGACAGATTGTATCCACAGAACAACAACCTGTCAATAGCCGGAGAAATCGGCGAAACGTGTTAAAAACTTGACACATGCTTCGTATGAACAGATGTTATAAGTGTTGCTTTTGGTAAATTTTCAATCGATTTCATCAAAACATTTCACTGACTACTAGATATTATAATATAATACACTATAACAACGCCGTCAGAACTTGATATCGGAAGTAAAGGTAGTTTGTATCTGTAGAGCATATTCTACACTTTCAGCCACCGTATAAGACATTGTTTGACAAACTGTCTACGTGATTAGTGAAACACATTGACGTGATCACTAATCACGTCCGACGTGATTAGTGATTAGATAACTGTCGGACGTGATTAGTGATTGTCAATGTGTTTCTCAGTAGACTTATGTAAACAATGTCTCATACGGTGGCTGGAAGCGTAGAATATGCTCTACAGAAACAAACTACCTCTAGTTCCGAGTTCAAGTTCTGACGGCGTTGTTATAGTGTAATATATTATAATATCTAGAAGTCAGTGAAATGTTTTGATGAAAATGATTGAAAATTTACCAATAGCAACACTTACAACATCTGTTCATAAGAAACATGTGTCAAAGTTTTTATCACGTTGGTAGCCGATTTCTGAACTTGGCTATCTGTCAGCCACTGTTGTTCTGTGGATACAAACGTGCATTTGATTCAGAGAAGCAAGCTCACTGGATATTTGAAATTGATTTATTAATTATATGATATCAAACTCTAGGTAAAAGCATTTATTCTTTTCGTCCAAAATTTTTCTCTCCAAATATTACATTGGGATACAAAACAAAACCATACGGCACAACGTACGGCACAAGCTATCAGCGGTCTTCTCTTTTGTGCGGACCTTTGTGAGAACAGTATAACATCGAACTGGACCTAAATTTAAGCGATTATTTCTTCACTTCAGAAGCCTAAAACCTTCATTTCTCCCTCAGCTTCCAGACATGGAGAGTTTATATTCTGATTTTGGAAAAAAATTCAGCTCTGCAGCGATGTTAAATGGGTGATTCACCGCGAAATGTGGCCAATTCCGACATTTGTTTTGATACCACGAATCACGATGGATGCCGCCTACTTTTCGAAGGCAATACCTAGCTATTTGTTGAAGTTATCATGGATTTCACCAATTTGGTTATTAGAAAAATGCTGAAGTGAGCCATGAAGCCGGGCTGCAAAGCGGGTAAGCTGTATTTATGACGAAATCTGCTCCAGTGGTTCGATTTTGGTGTAGGCGAAAAAATCGCGAATGCTCGTACATGTGCTGATTCAAACGGTCATAACTTTTGAAAAATCGAAAACGTACAGGGGTTTTTGCATATTTTTACCTCTAAAGGTCTAAAATTAACGGCTGTGTAGGATAGAATCGTCAACCAGGTCCCAAATCCCAAAACTTAACGTCTAAATCAAGGTTATTTACGGCCATCGGCCGATGGCGATTTCTAGTGGTCAGAATATGCTAAAATTCGCCTTTTCAAATATATTGAGAGGGCAAATTCTAACTTTCTTGGCAAACTAGAAAGGTTTTTAAGCAATCTGATATAAATTCTGTGGCTTAACTATGCGAATCAAATATTTTACAATGTTACAAAATATGCCTATTTTTCAATTTTCGAGACGTTGCGACGGTCCCTACGGACTGGAAAATAATTATGGCCCCTAATGCAGTCAGAAAATTATTTCGAATCAAACCAAATCTAATTTAGTTCTTTCCTAGGTAAAGTCTTTCTGTTGACAGAGTTTCAGGAAAAATTATTTTTGACGCAAAATTGACCGGGTGGAAATAAGAGAGACAGCCTCTTAAGTACAATAATAGTTATAATTACTGCAATCCCACAATATCATCTGCTCGAAGCTTCAATCGACATTGTCAAGAGCACACAATGTGTAGCTCATGAATCAGCAAGAGCGTTGAGAGGTTTTACAAATGAATTTCGAATTGAGAGAACATTTCGCCTAAACTTAAGTAACAGTATATTTTGAATACTCGTTAGCACATCAGTAAATAAAGTATGGAAATAGTCTTCCATTTGATTCGTTATTTTTGTGTGTGTAGTAACAATTAAAGTTGGTTGGCTGATGAAGCTAAGCCGACTTAGGTGCAGCGAACTTAAACGTAATGAACTCGGCATGAGGCGAGATTGGCGTGAACCAGAATTGACATGGAAGGTTTAATTTAATGTTATGAGATTAGGTTTGATACATGTTATAAAAAATCAGTTTCAAGGAAATGGGGATACGTAGATAATCTATCTCCCTTAACAAAAGAAATTGCAGAGCAATCACAATTTTATAAGTACAAGTAGCTATGTCCTCAGTATAAATAAAGTATTGTCTTAGTTCCTGCCTTATTCGGTATCAACGTGAACGATCCGTCATCAACTTTCAGGCACAGTTTTTCCGGCAGATTTATGTTGACGACGTTGAAGGTTACATTTTCTTGTGAATGATGCAAGCTCTGATATTAATGATGTTCTCCTGTGAATCTGTTACTGACGTTTTGGGTGAGCGGTGCTCTATTGAAACCAGATAAGACGAAGTCTATGCTCCATGGTAGTCGTCGACTGCTCTCCCAGCTCCCTGATTTCCCAGGTCATCAGCAATACCCGAAAGTTCTATCCCATGACCGCAGTCTTAAAAGATCGAGTCACGGCGGCTTGCAGTCAAATTTGCAACGCCGTGCGTACTCCTTTAAATGCACGACTGGTCTAGCGCTCGGGTACCTCAGTATACCTTGTAATTATCTTGCTTTTGCAGAGCCCTGCCTGGCAAAGGACCCTTTTTATTGAACGGCCTTGATAGCAATATAAACTTATGCAAATCTCCTCTATTTTCCAAAGTAAACCAAAAATTTACTCGCGCGAATTTTTATCGTCATAATAAAGTTCGCTCACTTTTTGGTATTTTACTATAAAACATTGTATTTAAAGGTATTTTCTAAGTACTACTGGCATGATCTAATTTTATTTTTTAATACGTTTTTTGTTGGCTCACAAGCTAACCGGTTTAATACGAACTTTCACCTAAATTACTGGATTTTTTTTGCCATTGTTGTACTCCATGTTTGAAGGTTTTTGGTTGGGTTTTTGGGTCTGGGTTCAGGTAAAAGTGTCCAGGTTTAAGGCCCTTTGTGGAAGTCAATCCGGGACAATAATCTAGGTTCGTTTAAAGAGGGCCTTACATCAGGGCAAACCCGAGTCTCCCTAAGAGTTGCCCGGCAGGAAGGTTTGACCAGGCTCTAACACCTACAAAAACCTCGCTGCAGAGGATTTTGCCAACTCAGGACACAACATACTACACAGTAGCATGGCCATTGTAAGGCCCTCGGGTTCTTCTTGACTTTGGATCCGCATATATGATTGGAGTGCGTTACCCACTTGATCCATGTCAAGTTTTTTGGGTTTTTTGTCGTCAACGAAATCTTTGTGAAGTTTCAAAAACTTTGTAGACTGAATAGAGTAAAAATCAGCAAACACGAAATTCTCTCGTTCTAACATTTCTTGTGCAGCGTTACCATACAAGGTAGCCACTTTTTGAAAATAGACAGCATCTTGAGCTTGGAAAGCCCTGTATTGATCTAATGGAAGAGTTCCTTGGGCCATTCCTGTGATGAAGATGGTTAAAAGAGCTTGGTTGTGGATCTTGAGGCTGAGTGGACTGTTAAATAGCCCTCGAAACATAGGGGCTGCTTCCGGCACTTTTTTGCCACCATCATGAGATCTTTCGGGCAAACGAGGATGCAAATTCAATCGGACTCTGTTGAGGTTCTTCGGATGCCATTTACTCTATGTAAATAGAAATACCTCTATATTATGGCGTGGTTTAATGATCATTTCTCTCTCTTATTAAAACCTGTCCAGGAGATACAACTGTTACATTTATTTAGATCAGTGGTTACTAGGCAAAGTACTTAGCGGGATAAATTAACCACCGATATACCTTAATTTGAATATTATTATGTTTTCATTGTACAATTAAGATACCTTGCAAAGGATTTTTTCATTTTCCACTAGATTCGCTCTTGTTGCTCGATCCAGTATGTGCTTACCTTCCTTCAGAAGAGGGCCATTTCGTTGTGGTTTCTTCTCCTCAAAAATAAAATTGATTTATTTATCAGCCCCATGTATTAGTTGTCCATCTTTAAGTCTTTCATCGGTTAGCCTGGAAAACGATAGATTAGTATTGGAATTAGCAGTGAGAAAATGATAATTGAATTGCATGTGTTTAAAAAAAAATGCTGAGAAGGAGGGTTAGCACAATTCCCGAAATTTACTGGCCTTAAAAACTGTACTCGGATGAAATAATTCATTTCATTTTGTTAATTAACCGTATTTACATTTCAAACTTCAGTTTGGTTGATACCCGATAGTAAACATTTTTTTGTTGTATGCACGCATTCAAAACTTGGATCGAAAAAAAATTTGAAATTTCTAAAATTTTCGCAGTTTCCCTCTCTATGTGATTGTCATCAACAGTAAATTTGTTTTAGAACCCTCTTTAAGTCGCGTAATTGTTTTTTCACCGGTTTTCGGGAATGGGCTTATAGTTTCTTGGTGTCTTTGTTGATCCTCCTTGGATCACAATTGAATCTCTTCGTCGAATATTTTTTACAAATTCGACAAATCTTTTGTCACAGCTGTAACTGCTTTGTGATTGCACTTAAACAATTTATTTTCATTAAACTAGGAAAAGTTTACCTTAGCTTACTCGACTGTCATAAAGATGCAAACTTCGTCATAACAACAAGGTGATGGAAAAATATATTTGGGGAATTCG